GTTTGTTTGAATGTTGCCCAAAGTTTGTCGGGAACTATCGGTGCCAGCCTTTTCTAATTTTCAAGTGATATACTAGAGGGAAGACAGCTAGTCAACACCACCCACCGCCAACTCTTGGACTGCTCTTTACTAACGAATAATGGGATTTACCGTAACTTATAACGCGCCTACAGATGAAAGGGCTAGCATGTTCAATGAAAGGTTTCGATCCCGTGACCCACAGATTACTAATCAACCGTAGCAGCTTGAAAAGTAAACAAACTGACCTTTTTCACGAAATCCCTATAGACTTCATCATTGAAAACTACGCTAAGGATAAGATGGTCTCGTTAATAGACAGCAATAAATAGCCCTGTACGAAACCATAAGTTTCAGCAAAAAAAAAAAAATACGGATATTCATTTTCTAAGTTTTCAGAAGTGACAGCAAACAACAGCACATTCTGTTAGTTACTGTCCTCGTACACTAGCGTCTCCTTTTCCCTTCAGTGGAACTAAACCCGAGGGTCGATTTTCTTTGTACACAAGATTGAACTTATCTCCAGACAGTGTTACCATGGTTACAGGATATAAGGATGACCCACGATAGTTAATTGTTTATACTTTACAATCAGAAATTAGGCTACCTAGCTTTTTTTTTTCTTTTCCACACAACAGCTTGCATATAATTTCTGTCCAACTTTGTTAGGCTCAAAGTTATACTTTTTTAACTTCTTCTTCCTATTCCTTCAAGTTCCAGAGACTAACTTTTTCCTAAGTCCATAAGACTGTTGTTTTTGTTTTGTTTTTTTTTTTGCGATGACTCTTTGTATTCACGGCTATCTTTTTCTTTTTCATACTCAAGACGTGCATAGGCAAAAAAAATAAAAAAATCACTTGATTAGCCCATCGGCTCACGAAGATCAAAACTCAGCGGGGAACTGAAGTTTCTGAACACCCCCAGTTGGGAATAGCTGGCAGACTCTTCTTGTAAAACTGAATCTCTCTCACTGTTTAAAATAATATATATATATATACTAGCGGGTGGTTTTGGAGGAGTTTTAGGCCAAATATAAGTTAATTAGAAAACTTATATTTTCTAATTTGTGAAATATTTCCACTTTCATTAGCTTGCCATGAGGAAGACGTGAAAGCGTGTTTACATGTTTATTAATCCTTCCTTTGTTCCTTTCAGGTGCGTTATTCCTTGCACTTGTTTCCTTATTATTGTTGTCACTAGACGGCAGCTTCTTCGTTGACTTGTTTCCTTCTTATTATTGTCACTAGATGGCAGCTTCTTCGTTGACTTGTTTCCTTCTTATTATTGTCACTAGATGGCAGCTTCTTCGTTGACTTGTTTCCTTCTTATTATTGTCACTAGATGACAGCTTCTTCGTTGACTTGTTTCCTTCTTATTATTGTCACTAGATGGCAGCTTCTTCGTTGACTTTCTTCGAGTAAATTCTAATTACTTTTATGTTCTCGCGCTTTTCTTACTCCATTATTTGTTGTTCAAATGTGGGTACAATCTTGGAGATGTTCCGACTATTTTTTTTGTTACTTAGTTCTCGTTGATGAGCTGTCATTATGGATTGTATAATTTAACAAAGAAACCATTTTTGTACCTTCGCACATACATACAGACATAAAGCTATAAAAACGACATTCAGAAGCATGATGCATGAGAAATAATAAAATGAATGCCAGAAAAGTCGACAATATTTCATTCGAGTGTGTTTTATTTTATTCTATTTCGATGAACGCACACAGTCTACCAAGTCCATTGTTGTGGGGGTTTGTTTGTTGTTGTTGTTTTTTCCACAAATCGGTTGCTTTCTTAAGCTTAGTTTTACATTAAATATAACTGTTTGTTTGTTTTCGGTCTGCTTTATAAAATGTAGCTAGAATTCCGCTACATTTACGTTGGTCATAAACGTGACTTTAATAAGTAAAAGACTGTCTTTCTCCCTTAACTTCAGAAGCGAGGAGAATAATCCGAAACAGAATTACTTCACACAATAAGTGGAAGTTAGGTTTAGCCGGTTAGTGTTTATTGATCCTTCTTCCACTGTCTTGGAACAAGTTTGTTTGTCCGACACCGTATAATCCACTTTCAGCCTGCTATTATAACCGTTAGAGGGAGCTTTTATTATTACATATCCGATACTATGATTGTGATATCCCTAATCTTGTCTGTCTGTACGTGTTGTTCTGGTATTTATTTTTTGCCTCACTTTGTGACTACCTACCGATTTACCTCTATTTCTCTGTTAAGTTGTTTCTCTGATACAATGCTACACAACATGTGACGATTCTGTACAAGCAACTTCAGCTCATGACAAAAAGGTGTAAAATTAAATGTTTATTTTATTACCTACACTGCATCGTTAGCTGCATTTACCTCTTCGTCTTCCTTCTCTCTATATATGTATATTTCGTATCCTCAGTGGCACAGCGGTATGTCTGCGGGCTTTCAACGCTAGAAACCAGGTTTCGATACCCGTGGTGGGCAGAGAATAGATAACCGCTCGTGTAGTTTTGTGCTTAACTACAAACAAACAAACAAACCTTTCTTATAGCTTATCTTTGTGTATATTTTCTGGTGCTACTTATCTTTGTATTTCTACCCGTGTCTGTGTACTCAAACCTTTCTTATAGTACACAGACACGGGTAGAAATACAGAGATAAGTAGCACCAGAAAATATACACAAAGATAAGCGGTCTACCTTCGTATTTCACTGTATCTTTATCTGTCTGTATCTCCGTACTTATATTTTCTCTGTATGTATTTTTACATCTGCCTGTGGATTTGAATTTCTGTGTTTTAGTCTGTAACCTAACATATTTATTTATCTCTGTACTTATACGTATCTCAATATACGTGATTGTATCTGTCTATATCTTAATAAATTATCTCTGTAGCTGTATCTATATCCTATTTTATAGGAATCGTTATATTTGTGTATGTGTGTGTGTACTTTTCATAGCCTGTGACATGAATGTCCACAAGCGATGTCGAGAAAGTGTACCCAACTTGTGTGGCTGTGACTATACTGAGAGAAGAGGCCGAATTCAGTTGAAAGTGACCGCTAACCCAGCTCTACTGACCGTCGAGGGTAAGTGAATAATATAGCTTGATTATTTACCATTGAAAACAGTTAATGTACAGAGAAAGAGACAAAGCTGCGCTTGAAACGAGATAAATTATTATGTGTTAACTGTTTTTACTTAGTGTGTCTCAATTCAAATAAATGGTACAGGTTTTTTTTTTATTTTAATAACTACAATCCTGAATACAAATGTATTAGTACAAAAACGACAATATAATTACAAAATGGGGTGCAGGATAATAATATAGAAACAGATTTGAACTTAAAAGTAGAAAAAGTATTGAGTGATGATACAAAATTTGAAAAATCCCAACCAGATCCTAGAAAAGCTAGAGAAAGTAAGTTCGAGATACATGAATAAATCCGATTATAAGGCGCACGCTAGAGTAGTAATTTAATTAGCCTAGGCTTCCCTTCCCTCCACACTAAGCGCGTGGAATCATTGTTGTGCAGCAACCTGGATAGCAGAAAATATACTGAGTGATAGAACCAATTTTTGGATTCAAATGAGATCCTAGGAAAAGCAGGAGAAATGAGCTACACAGATATTTAAACTTTAGAAAGGAATGGACTGTTAATAGAGGAAGAGCACGTTAGTATCGACCATTAGGTAATCCCAAAGAAGGAGCCCAGTTAGGCCCATAATATTTAATAATATTGGTGTATATAATCATGACTTACCAGGATTGTTGATAAAATTCTTAGAATATTATACTCATAACAAGTTGAAAATACCTTTATTTTGCTAGTGAATTACTGTATACAAACGTTACACCTAAGACAACATTACAATAACAATAGAGTTAATAATTTCTGTCACTTGCCAACCTTATACTTTACTTTCTGATATGTAGATGATACTTGTTTCGTCTTTACTGAACCAGAACAAGTAGACCAATTCTTAGTAAAGTTAATAGTATAATATTTATTGTAGAACTCCAACAGAAACTTGTGTTTTTTTAGACAATTTAATAGGGAAATTTAAATGTGCATCTCAAAAATACCTCTATGGGTCTGTATTTGAATTTCGAAAATTTTATATCTGATGTATTCCGAATCAGTTAGGTTAAAATCTTGGTTCATCGCGCCTATTAATATAAACTAACTATCAAAAATGCATGTCTACATCTAGGAAACATAACTGTTCTAAAGTAGAAATGTATTTCCTGGAAACGTAGCTAATAGTATCATCTGCAAGTATACTTGGGCAAAGCTCGAGAGAACAAACAATCAGTAACCAAAGTTACCTTATATGGGTAAACACGTCTTAGAAGTAAGAAAACAACTAAACAGGTTAATTCGAAATGGTTACTCACACATAATATTAAGGGTTATATTAAAAATTTTCTCATTATATAGATGAAATATTTATATTAAAATAGTCGAAAGTAACATGTGAATTTAGTTTATTTTAGTTGTAACTCCAAGTTCAACCGCCAGATGGCTTCCAACATGTATAAGTTTGAATTTAGTTTATTTTAGTTGTAACTCCAAGTTCAAACGCCAGATGGCTTCCAACATGTATAAGTGTGAATTTAGTTTATTTTAGTTATAACTCCAAGGTCAACCGCCAGATGGCTTCCAACATGTATCAGCGAACACACAAATTTTGTCTTATTTTGTTTGTAGTTAAGCATAAAGATACACAGGGGGCTATCTGTGCTCTGCCCGCTACTGGTATCGAAACCCGGTGTCTAGCGTTGTAAGTCCGCATATTTAAGAACGAACACAGATTAAGTACAAGAAATCATGGCTTGAATGATTTCGACACAGATGTACACGAGAGCTAGTGACGAGAAAAACAGTCCTCATAAAACAGTCCTCTAATTTAAAGAATTGAGTTGTGTGTACAAACTGTTAAAGCGTGCTTGAATTATAGTAATGTTACATTTATGTAAAAAAAATTGTTGTTTTTAGACTCAGTGGTATAACAAATTTTCTGTTCGTGTTGTTTTTTTTTTGTTGTTGCTGTTGTTGTAATTTTTTAATAATTTAACAAAGCAAGTATATACTAGTTTGTTTTTACTAAACTATAAAACAATTTAATTTAAATTTCTTGCAAAACTACACGAGGGTTATCTGCGCTAATTTAACATTGATAGGCAAGAGGGAAGGCAACTTTAGGGCTACTCCTTTACCAATGAACAGTGGTATTGACCGTTACTTTATAACGCCCCACTGCTGAAAATGCGAGCATTTTGGTGACGGGGTTTCGAACCTGCGATCCACATATTGCTACTCGAGAGCCCTAACCACCAGGCTTGGTGTAATGGTTACCATATCGGACTGCAAATCGGAAGATCTAAAGTTCGAGCCACGATATACAGGCACTCTACACGTTCGGTTACCAGAGCGTTATAACTGTGACAGTCAACCCCGCTATTCAGTTAAATGGGGATGGGTGCTGACACCTTGTCCTCCCTCTGGTCAGCAGTTCTAAATCTTGATGATTATACCTGAATTTTAAAGGTATTTAAGTTAAAAGGGAAGGGGGTGCTGACACC